GGAGACCCCGCGCCCGTCCGCCCCACCCCCTTCCGCCCCGCCTCTTGCCTGCTTGACGGTTTCCAGCACGACTGCCGGTGTGGACACGGAAAAGGCGCTCCAGGAGGTGGCGGGTGCTGGGCCTGGGGCTGGCAGCGCCAACAGGGGGAAGTTGAGGCTGTAGGCAGCGCGGATCACGCCAGCATCCTGGAAGGAGCCTGGGGTAGACCGGAAAGCGACGCTGGTGGGGAGGGAGGCAGAGGGCCTGGGGAAGGTAGGAGGGGTCCAGGGCGCAGGAAGGCCCCGCCTCCCCAGCACTCACCCTTGTGCGGCATCAGCGCGTAGGTGAACTCGTGGCGTCCCATGTCAGCAGTGGCGTCCGGAGCCTTAGGCGCCCGCAAGCTGGGATGAGGAGGGGGGGTTGTGGGCCCTCCGAAGCTGCTGGAGATCCGCCCCATGCCCCATGCCCGCTCCCGGGCCGGGTGGGCGCCCCACTCACAGCGAGAGGCTGAGGACGTTGTCTCGCACTGACGCGCCATACTTGCAGTCGTTGAGCAAGGCTAGCCCGAAGCCGTGCTCTGACAGGTCCACCCAGCGGTGGGCCCACACCTGGAGGAAGGTCCCAGCCCACTGGTGGCCCTGCCCTTCCTCGTGCTCCCAGCCCGAGCCCCTGTCACTAGGGTGAGACAAGCCCTGAAGCCACTCCATTGAATTCCAGCTCCCACTCCGGGAGGCCTGAGCCTCAGTATCCTCCTCTGAGAAGTGGGGATAGCTAACAGTGCTCACCCCGTGGAATGGTCTTGAATATCAAGCTACATGTTCGGCTCGCTTGCTAGGCCCTTCCTTCCTCTCCTCCCCCTACTCCACACCAGTCCCTCCCCAGCCAGGAAGGAGTCCAAGTCCACCCCTGTCCCCATCCCACCAAGCCAGACCTCAAATCGAGCCCAGTCCCAGGAGGTGTTGTGGTGGGTGGGTCGCTGCAGATGCCCGAACTGGATCTCATAGGTGGCTTGGGAGCTCCGCACTTGGGCAGGGAATTCCACCTTCAGAAATTTGTGGGCCTCATGCCAATGCACCTGGGGTGGGATGAGGGGTGGGCGAGGGAAGGCGACACACAGGCCTGGGGCAGGCCCCCCCACCAGGTACACCTGGGAACCTGGCCTGCGTCCCTGCTACCTCGGTGTGGAAGCGGACATAGGGGCAGCCAATATCCAGCACGACTTCCTGGCTGAGGCGGCTGTTGGGGCTGATCTGCAATAAGAACCAGACACTCCCCCGCAGGCCACCCTCAGTGCCCACGGCCAGGGTCCCTGCCTGGCCCAGCACGGGCTTCCTGTGGGAGGGACGGGAGGCACTAAGCAAGGCAGCCTGTGTGCCCACCACCCCTACTGTCCCAGTCCTGCCCAGACCGTACCGCGTCTCTAGGTGGTAGTCCATGACGTCCCACGCATCCCAGTACAAGGGGACATCATCAAACAGCACAAACTGGTTCCCCACTGAGCCCTCGGCAAGGGCTTCCCTGGAAGGACCGGGGATGAGCAGACCTCACTCCCTCCAGCCACTCTTAGCGGGGTGGGTGGAGCAAGCAGGTCTGGGAGGGGCTAGCCCAGCCTGCCCTGCTCCAGGGTCCCAGCCCAGAGCCACTGGTGGGCTGCTGTGGGCAGTGCTGTGGCCAGGGGACAGAGGGAACGGGGACCCCCCTTGCCAGGCACTGGGAGAAGGCAGTGGGAGTTGGCACCTGCCAGAATCCACCAGGACCAAGGACGTCAGGCGGCCGGTTGGGTCCAGTCTCACCCGGATGATGCCATTGTCCAGAGTCACAGAACCGTCAGTCTTGGTGGGAGGAAGCCTTGAGGCTGAGTCTGTAAGGGCTTCCCATACCCACAGTCCTCCCACCCAACCTCCCACCCCCAGCCCCACCACTTGCTGCAGCTTGGGGAGCTCAGACGCCTGTGTTGTTAGGGAGCATCCCAGGACAGCTGTACCCCCAGGACATGCCTGGACTCACCTCTTGCACTACGAACACAGGCTGCTGGGGCAGCAGGGGCTGCAGCGAGGTGGGGGTGGGCACAGGAGCATAGCCCATGCTGGGCACTGTCACCAGGGCTGGGGATGAGGACTGGGCATCAGTGCAGCCTCCTCACTTTCCAAGAGCCTTGCCCAAGGGGTGGTGGTGGTAGAAAACGTGGCTACTACTCTCCAGGCATGGGCACCCCAAGGCAGAGATCCCCAGGGGTGCCCCGACCTCGTCTGTCTGGCCTCGGTCCCTCCTGCTGCAGTAGCAGCCCTTCCCTCAGTTCATACCTAGGCTGTGTGCCCCGCCGGGCTTGGGTAGCACCAGGACCTCAGTGCGCTTCCAGGGCAGCGTGTTGACGATGAGGATGTCCTCAGGCCCTGGCTCGCCTGCACACAGCGCTGTGGCTGCTGCGCTGAGCAGCGTGTTGCCATGGGAACGGATGTCTGAGGAGAGACTGGCTGGTCATGGGTGGGCCATGGCTCTGGGATGACCCCTGGTGTCCCACAGGGGACCCTGGGCTCCGTCCCAGGTTGGAGGGTGCGACGGGACTGTGGCCAGCCTCACCATTGTAGTGGCACATGGCATCCTCTGCCACCAGCTGGATGCAGCTTCCCGTCACCACGTCATGGAACTGGTTCAGGAGCAGGAGCCTGTGGGGCAGGGGCAGGGATGGGAAGGCGGCGAGGGGCAGCCCCGAGGTGTCTGGGTGAGGGGCAGCAGGGCTGACCTCCAGAGGTGCTGCAGCTGGGCAGCGGGGTACAGGAACTGGACACTGCGGGCCAGGGCCAGGCAGCTCAGTAGCTCCGCATCATGTAGAATCCGCTCACACTCCCGGTTTCCCTTCTTGATCTGAGCCAGGTAGGGAGACCAGTCTGGAATCTGCCCACGTGTCCCAGGATGCCTCCCGCAGACCTGCCTTGCTCAGAACCCCATTGGCTCCACAGGGCCTCTGGGACACAGCTTCTTGCGGGTGAACTGCCCCAAAAACCCTCCCTCCTCTCCCCTCCACCCCAAGCCCTCCTTCCTCAGGGACGCCCAGTCCTGCATCCACCAAGCTCTCCTGGCCAGCCCAGCTCTTGCACAGCTTCCTGCAGGCTCCTCCTGGGAGTGAACCCTCCCTAGGTCCACCTGGGCTCCATCCCGCTTCCTCCTTTGACCCTCTGCAGATCAAGGCACACCCTCCCTGCAGGGCTCTGCCCACCCTGACCTGGGCATGGGTGGTGTAGGTGCCGTTGTGCAGCTCCAGGAAGAGCTCCCCAACCCACGTGCACAGCCGCCCTGAATCGCTTTCCAGCGCTGAGAAGAGATGCCCTGGGGAGGACAGCTGTACCCTGAGGGATAACATAAGCCTGGGCCTCCTAGCCTGGGGGCCACGCCACTCGCCTTCTGCCTCACCAGAGCACACAAGAGATGCAGCCCCAGCAGCAGGAGCCACTCCAGAAAGGCCCCGTCCACACAGTCCAGCTCTGGACTCCAAGAGAGCTGCTCTTCCCACCCTCAGCTTCTCCCCAACCTGCCCCTGGGGCAGTTTGGAGGAGCCAGTGGTCCAGAATTGGGGCAGGACAAGATCCAGAAGACCTGTTTGAGCAGAAGGCAGGGCTTGTGGCAAGGGCAGAGTTGGGTTAAGGGAGCCAAGGACTCTAGGCCTGGCCTGACCTGGGCAGCCCGTCAGTGTTGGCCAGCCGCGTCAGGCGGTCCAGCATGGTCTGGGTGGGGCCACCGCCCCCATCTCCAAAGCCAAAGAGGAAGGCACTGTGGTTGGTCCGGCCCTTGTCCCGGTTGTTGGTCACAGTCTTTAGCACCTGGCCAGGGTGGGGGCAGGCCAGCGGGGGTCAGCCCGGGATTCCAGCCTGCACCCCACCCGCCGTGCCATCGGTGTCCCTCACCTCCTCCACGCTGCCCTGCATCCCATATGAATCGCCAGGCGGGAAGTGGACCAGCACCCGGGAGCCATCCAGCCCCTCCCAGAAAAAGGTGTGGTGCTGCCGGCAGGGAGACAGACAAGGGAAGGCCAGCATCAGGGCCCATGCAGCACGGGCCTTCCCAACTCGATCCTGCCCCCACCTATTGTGTGATCCTGACAGAGGTCCAGCCTCTCTGGGTGGGCATTTGGTGGTCTGTCCAGGAGCCCTCCGTAAGCCTGGGGAGAGGTGAATGGCCAGGTGGTTCCCTGAACCCCTGGGGCCTGCTCACCGGAAAGGTGTTCACCAAGTTCCAGCTCAATTTCTGGGTCAGGAAGTGCCTGATGCCGCAGCCGCGCATGATCTGTGGGAGCTGTGCTGAGTAGCCGAATGTGTCGGGCAGCCAGAACTGTGGGCAAGAGGGCCCTGGAGTGTGGGAAGCCTCAGCCCCTCAGCGCTGGGTCGAGCGCCAGCCCCACCTGCCACAGCGCGGCGCTGCCGCCGCCCCCAGCCTACCTCGGAGCACGTCCTCCCAAACTCCTGCAGAAAGAAGTTCTGGCCCTGCAGGAACTGCCTGACCATGGCCTCTCCACTGGGCAGGTTCCCATCCTGGCAGTGACGGAGCAGGAGGCGGCTCAGGAGAGCACTGGAGGGGGCAGGCAGGACAGGCCAGCCCACCCCTGCTGGGACACAGGCCCCAGGAAGCATCGCTCTGCTCGCCTCAGGCTGTTCATCTGTCCCAGGGAGGTGGCGGGCCATGGAGACAGCCTGGCACAGGGTGGCGGCCCTCCTCCCCCATGGAGGCCCAGGCCTTGGGATTCCAGGGACTACCCCGCCCTGTCACAGAGAGGCCTGTGGAAAGTCATCAGCAAAGCCAAAAGGCTCCTGGCCAACTGCGTGAGGCCCTGATTACATGGCCCGAGGCCAAAGGGATACCGGGGATACTCACCATCTCTACCCAGGTGCCCCCCACGGGCACAAACTGCCCACGGCAGGCAAACTCCTGGAGCCGGGCGTGCAGGCCAGGGTAGTGGCTCTTCACCCACTCAAGTTGCTGTGCCTGTGGGCAGGTGGGGTAGAAGGGGGCCACGAGTGACAAGGACGCCATCAGGGCCAGCACCTGGGGCCCAGTGGGCGGCTGAGGGCGAGGACCAACCCAGCCCAGCAGGCCTGCGATGCCCTCGGGGCTTTGAGCTCCAGGAACCCCAGAAGCCCGCCCTGCCCCCCAGTGCCCACTCACCTGGGAGCAGACAAAGATGAACTCAGGGTTGCGCTCCATGAGCTGCATGGCAGTCACCCAGCTCCGGGCACATTTCCGGATGGTCTCTTTGAAGGGCCAAAGCCAGGCTAGATGGAGAAGGGGCAGCAAGGGCCTCAAAAATCTCAGCTCACCCCTGTCCTGGCATCCTGCCCTGAGAAAGCCCTGTGTCCTCCCTCCTCAGCTGTCACTTGGGGTACTCCTGCAAGGGCTGGAAGGGAGGCCAGCAGGGTCAGTTTCATAGGCTGGGAAATGGGGGCCCGGGCCCTGGAACGGCCTCAGTCGGAGGCTTAGACACCCCCGAGAGGATCCCACAAGAACGATGACAGGTACCCTAGCACAGGGAGTGCAGCTCCCAGGCTGGGCTGTCTGGGCCAGTTGTCCTGCAGGAGGCACACCCACCTCCCTCAACCCCAAGACTTCCTTCCTTCCTCACTAGCTCAGAATGCCCACACCTGGTCCCACATCCTGGCATGGCAGAAAAAGCCCTTGTTCTGGGATTCCAAAACTTTAGATGCATCGGAATCAACTCCGTATCACTCCTCTCTGGACTGGGCACCCTTGCCAAACTCTTACTCATTCTCACTCAGTTCAGAGGTCACCTCAGCCAGGAAGCCTCTCTGGAATCCCCCAACCCAGCTGTGGTAAGTCCTTCTCCTTGCTCCCCAGGTCCCCAGGCTTCCCTCCACCATGGCTCCAATTGTGATCATCAGTCTCTGCAGTATTTAGCATGGGGCTTCATGGGGCATCAGATTTTGTTGAAAGAATAAATGAAGCCACAGCTGGCAGAGCTCACAGTCTAGTCCCTCTGTCCCATTTAACAGATGGGGAAAACTGAGGTCCAAGAGGAGTAAGAACTTGCTGAGGATCGCACCATGGTGCTAGGACACACCCAGGGCTTTGAGGGCACCTCTGCCTTCCCTGCCCACCCAACAGCTGCCACCCTACCTGTGTCAATGTGGCAGTGCCCTGTGGCATGGAGGATGTGTTGGCTTTCACCTCCACGTTGGCCAAAGAACCTGGAAGCCAGGGCCTGGGCTGCGGGGAAGGTGCCAGGCTGGGCAGGGTCGCACACATTCACCATCTGGTTGGCTGTGTACAGGGCCTGGAAGCTGCGCTGGTTGTCTTCCCCAAGGCCCTGCCAGGATGGTGCCCCTTAATGCCCCCTCAAGCTCGGCCCCTGGAGCAAGGCTGATCCTGAGAGTTCCCACAGAGATCTCCACGGCTTCCAGCCCTTGGCTCCCACTGGAGCTGCTCAGTACCATCTCTCTCCTCCTCTTTACACCAGAAAGTCCTCACAACTCACAGGCAGGCAGAAACCCTCTTCCTCTGGATTCACAGAGCCCCACCCATTTGACCCAAGAAATGTGCTGCCTGGAAAGAGGCTCTTGAGGGTGGCGGGTGTGTCGCGTACCTTGGCGATGCCCAGCAGCAGCTCCAGGTCCACTAGGAGCTTATGGACATCCCGGTGGAACACTGCCAGTTCAGCGCGGCTCAGCTGGAACATCTTCTCGGGGTCAGGGGCTGCGATCATGCTCCCTTTCCCAGCCCCCAGGAGCCCATTGCACGCCACTTCCACAAAGAGGGTCAGGCTACAGATGTGGGGATGCAGGCCAAGGGACTTGCAGAGGACTCTGGGACTCAGGAAAGGGGCACCTAGGAGGGACCCAGTTGATCCCTCCCTATTGGCCTCCAGGATCCACACCCAAGGGTCTCAGTTTAGGGGTGCATGTGGGAGGGTTGTGGTACAGACACCAGACTGAGCCTGTCCTGCTGACAAGTGCTCCCCTCTGTCAGGGAGACTGAGGAGCAGTCACTACATTTAGCCTTTTTTTTTTGAGTTGGAGTCTCACTCTGTCAGACTGAAGTGCAGTGGCCGCTCCTGGCCACTGCAGCCTCAACCTGCTGG